ACAAGGTGTTTCAGAACTAGTGAATCAATTTTTTTCTTTTGAAAGCACCACATTTTTCTGGATTGTCTTGTTTCCACGAGACACGCAAATTTTATTCACAAACAATACGATTTTGTAAATTTTTAAAAATGGCACGCCATTTATGTCAATAAAAATTGATGTTAAAGAAACTTCTACCCTAAAGTAAGCACACGCTCTAGTACAAGCAAGTTAACTCGAACCAGGTTCATTTTTCAAGACAGAACTTCATGCGCCATATTGGAAAGACTGTCGAAAAGGATATTCGCTAATAATATTCTAAGTTAAGTTCTTGAAACTAAGTTTACAATTAAGTTTTAGCATTTTTAAGCTTTAGTTAAGTTAATTTTGTCGTTCAATGCCAAATTTGGCGGAAATGTGAGGGTATAAATCACAAAGTAACTATAACTAACCAAAATAACAATAAAAAAATTAGATTAAAGATAAAGGTAAAAATAAAGATAGCTTTATTTCCATAAGACTTGATTTACAAGTGTTGGATATTGTCAGCATAATGTAAAAGTTTAAAATTATCTTAGTATAATTAGTAAATTAATAATAATAATAATAAGTAATACTGATGGACAAATAACAAATATAGAAACAATAACAAACAACGAATACGTATTAAAAGGTATCACAACAAAAGAAAATCCTTAATTAAAGAGTGCATTTGAATGTTGTTTGACTAGTTATCTCCTTCAGTTCGATAGGCAATTTATTCTAAATTTTTACAGTCAAAACAAAGGGACTATTTGCTATTTGCTGTAAGAGACAGTCGATGTGTAGGTATTTTTATGTTAAGATTCGGTCTTAAACTGTACTGAATATCTGGTTTTCTTGAGGGCATATAAAGATTAGACTTACTTTTTACATACGTGGCACAATTTAGTATGTACATACTAGGAAGTGTCAATAAAGAGTGTTGTGGAAATAGGTTCCGACATGAAAAATTCCAAGGCTTAAACAGTATAGTCCGTAAAATTCGTTTCTGCATCCTAAAGACTTGCTCCGCACGTGGGGAACCTCCCCAACAAACCAAGGCGTAGTTAAGACACGAATAGACATACGAAAAATAGTACCTGATGGTGGAGCCTCCATATAACAAAGCAGTAAACAGATAGTTTTCTGGGAATGCGGCCCACCTGTTCGAACCAGGAGAGTCTCGAGTCTACATAAACTCCGAGGAATTTTACAACACTTTTCTGTTGAATTGTGCTTTCATTAAAGCGTACTAATAAACTCTTATTTAAATCCCGTGTTGAAAAGGCGATCATCTCAGTTTTATTTTTTTCAGTATCAATTTGTTAATTTCTGGATAATGTTTCATTTACTCAACCGTTGTCTTGGTTGCAATGCTAAGTTGCTCAGTTGTTTATAATAAAACATGAAGCCTTCCTTATGTGGGTTCAAGGTGGCGAATTTATATAAGTCTCTTAGTCTCATACCCTGTTGAATAATATCCCTTATTGAAATGAATTGAATTGAAATGAACAATTAAATGCCCCTACAAAGAGTTCATGAAATGTATTAAATTTATTGTCAAGGCTTTCCCCTTGACTATAAACAGGTAACCAATCTATTTCGGATATTTGCATTTCAAACGATTCAATGTTACTTTTTTTTCTAAATAGTCGTACATAAGTTTGCTCCACTCCATCCATAATAACTTGTAGGAGGGAGACTAGTTGCATAAGATGGTCAGAAATGTCGGTATAAACGACCTTTGCATCCAACAAAGTTGGTGAAAATATTGTCGATTGTTGTTTTACTTTTATTTTGATCGGAACGTTATCCCCACAGTATATTAACTCCAAAAGTTACCGCTCCATTGCGACAAAAAACTCGCTACGCTACGTGAGACAATGGCTAGGCAACCAATGAGAACTGGATTTAAGGGTGCCGAGAGCTGTTCGAGAATTCCGCCGTCTTCCCGTTAATACTGTTTGGCGTTCTCGTCTAATTAATTTATTGCGTTTCCTTTCCGGTAGAAAAGGAGAGGGGCGGGCGGGAGCGAGGATTGTTTCGTAGTCGCAATAAGGTACGGCGTCAGGAAAGCAGCAAGTTGAACCGCAGAAAATCGTTTAAAATCGTAAATTTTAATTAACAGATTGGATTTAATTAATAGATTTAAATAAATTTACGTTATAAACCAATAATTCGCAAAATTATTCCTGTAAGTAGAATTATGCTTTGTCTAGTTTATGCTTTTAATGAATTTTATCATATTAAATATCCGATTTCTTCGATCGGTGTTACTAACGAAGGGCAAAATTTCATGTTGCAACAAATATTGTCTCGAGATTTGCGTCATTATGCATATTATTGTAATATTAATAATAAAATTCACTTTTGCGAGTGTCAAATACTGTACATTCGCAAAGGAGACCTAAAAGAACAACCAAGAAATACCTACGAAGGGATACAAGGGAATCCTATGCTGTCAGTTACATTGCTATGAATGTTATTCCAAAGTACAATATTGTACATTCCCTAAGCAAAGCAAAATCAGTGCTAAAACGATGCCGCTGTAAAATGGTTGCTGTTCGAGTGTTAACCTCGCGAGTGTAAAGTAACTGTACATTCGCAAAGCAATGCTTCACTGTAAACTCTGCGAGTGTACGCTGGACATTCGCAAAAAAAAGTTAGCACAGTCTTTCGTTCAAACAATACTAATTAAAAATGCAAAACACACACAACGCGTTTCTTGTTATACAAAATTAGCAGTCGCTATGTAGTCCTTTCTATTTTTTTTTAGTTCAATTTGACAGCAAATGATTTTTGGATAATTTGCATTGGTATAAATTAGCAGTAAAACGTTTACAAAATTCGTTATTACATCGTCGAATTTAATTATACTGTAAAATAATATTTGCGATAACAAACTGCTGGGGACGGAATATATTAGTTGGGGCCCATGTTGTTTTTTGCCTGCCGGGGTAAATTAAAATTGCCAGTTCAATAATGGCGTTAATGCTTTTTTGATTACGCCGAATAATAAAAACGGTTTGGGTTGAGTTTTCCCTAGGACCGGGCTTCAGTAATTTTTTTTTTTTTTTGTGATCGTCCCTACTTTCTCCTCGGCAATACAGGGTATTCATTTATAGAATATCACATTTTAGCTGTTTATACTGAAATTTCTAGTTCTTACCTCAAGACGTTGATTGTTTGCTTGCTCCAGGTTGTTGCCCAATCTTAATCTATTTCTGAAATTAGCAGAAAAAGGGACATTTTGTTATCATATGAGTGGAATAGTAGTGACAGTTCAACAATAAGTTTTCTCATTTTTACATGTAAATTGCCATAAGAAAATTTAAGGTTCATATTAGCGAAAATTGGTTCGCTCAAGGTCATTCGATCCCACCCTCACCCCTAACCCGCACATAATAACCCATTGATTTTAATATGCCCGTTAGATCGGTGTTAAAGTTTGAGCTCGACAACGGACGCACTGTGGGCCCCATGCATAAACTAGGTTGCAATACGTCATAATTAAAAATTCAAAATTTGTCAATGTTTTCAAATTAAGAACATACTTAAACATGTAAAAACAGTATTGCTTTCTAAAAATACTTTACCAAAATTTTTTTATGAAGTCACAATATCAGATGTCTAAAAGAAAGACGTGCCTCTCTGAGGAGGCCCAAGAGGCACGTCACAAAGATTGTCGGCGATATCGTGAGCATCACACCCAAAAAAAATCGCGCATTGCCACGAATAAAGACTTGATGCGAATGTTACTAGTGTTCTCTGACCCCGTTATAGCCAGTTACCGACAAAAAACTGTAAGACCAAAAAAACCACCATCACCTGATATATTGGCTCTACTTAGCCCAGAGCTTCCATACCTTACAAAAAATGACTATTTTTCGGAGACCTCCGAATATGACTGTGAGTGTATGGGTAGTGAGTCTGACATGTCATGACAGCGAGAATGACTAAAATTATAATTTACCCAGTGGGTTTCACGGTTAAAAAAAGTATGTTAAGTAGAAAACATCTCTGCCAAAAGGTTATTTATAAGCCATTTCTAAGGCTTTTTTTTATCCTTTAAGTTTTTTGTGTTTTGTATGATCTCTTGCTTGCTGTGTTGTTTTAATAAAATAGTTATATTTTCAATAAGTTAATTTAATTTAGGTAAATAGTTCATATATTTGGAATTTGTTAACCAGTGTGTTTTCTGTTTCCTTAAATACAGTTAAATTATTTCACGTGACTGCAGAAACTGTGCAGTAATTGCAAAATGTTTCCCATTTTTTTTATTCCAGTTTTGGTATACCTTTAAAATATACTCCGAAAAATACTAATGAGGCAACGCTGGAAAATTGAAAAAAAAAATGTATTAATACTTACCGGCAATGTATAATAATAATAAATAATAAAAATTTTTAATGCAACCTAGTTTGGGCAATGGGCCCACAGTGGGACGGTTCCCCGGTTCGATCCTCGTTAGCGAAAAAAAACAAATTAATCATCATTCACCATATGTAAGACATAATTACCTATAATATAATATTAATATGCCAATTAGCTCGCCGTTATAGCCGACGCTCGACAGCGGGCGGATTCCGGGTTCGATCCTCGGTAGCGAAAAAAAAAAAAGTGAGTCACGTGACTGCGTGGTTGCGTGAGGGGAGGGGTGTGTGTGTGTGTGTGTGTTCAAGGCGGTGGGGAGTGGTGAGGGGTATGGGAAGTTGGTGGTGGTGGGTGAGGGCGGGATCGAATGACCTCGAGCAGACCCGACAATATCTCCGCTATTTATGAACGAACCTTAAATTTTCTTATGAGAATGTGCATGTAAAAATGAGAAAATTTATTCTTGAACTGTTACTACTATTCTATTATATGTTACGTGCCTACCGTTGTACTACAAAATAATATTTTTCAGTAAATAGAATTTTGTGGTGACAGCTTCCTTCGAAGTTTTTTCCGATTGCTAATTTCCTTTTTTTATTAATAGAATATATATTTCTTTGTTTCAGGCGAATGCCGGTCTGCCTTGGGAATGGAGGAAGGTCGTATTCCAGACCACGCCATTTCAGCAAGTTCTTCTTACGAAGCCAAATCGGTGGGACCACAAAACGCAAGGTAAGTGAAGTAACTTTGTTAATGAGATTTTTAGTTTTAGTTTGGAAATTATACTATCCATTTACTAGCATTTTAAAAAGTTGTCAGAAAATCTCTTATCAAAGGTCCCTTTAACTTTATTCTATGGTAATTTCCAAATGTTAAAAGGTAAAATTTCACTTTCTAATTCAAGTTGTTTAAGGAGATGCTCGAATATTAGCCAATTTGAAAATTACGTTATTTACTAGAATTTCGAGGAGATGTGGGTCTTATAAAACTATATAGCGAAACCCAAACTGATAGTTTCATTTATAATTATGGTTTTTATGAGAAAGTATTTCGGTTTTCTTTGGAGTTTTTGTGCTATTTTATGTATTTCGTTTCAGCTAATCGCAATGTAAACTTTTCGTTCATCTTTCACAACATTTTACCTATAGGTTCGTTCCAACAGTTAGCAGTCATAAGCAGTTTCTTACTGCCAAGACTATAAAAGTTTGTTCTCTGGTCCATCCCATTTTGAAACGTATTTCTGAACTATCGGAACTATTGGGACAGCTTGACGCAAAATTAATAGGTGGAATGTTTTTTGAAGAAACGAATACTAAGAATCAATGAGTACGTCTCCCTTTGTTTTCACGATTTGAAGAGTAATGATTTTAAACAAAACCAAACCTAAGTAACCATTTAAACCAAGGATTACTTTTTGATTGATTGAATTTGATCAATAAACGAGTGACTGGCTAGACTTTTTCTACGACCTTTCGGATTGTTGGGTGAATTTTTAGAAAAAAAAACCCAAATACATTCACTGAATGATGTGGCTAAGATTTTGACGGCTCCTGGGCTGATGTATCGATACCGTTACGGCGACAGTCGACAACGATGCTAGGGATGCTAAGTTTAAAAAAGGTTTCTTCAATGTCTTCATTTGAAGATAGTTTAGAAGAAAAAGATTTAAAAAATCACTTTTATTCGCGTTACATTACTTCGTATTTCAAATTAATAGGCAACAAAACTCACGGAAACCATAACACGCAAGCGACGCTATCAGGAAATTGCAGTGATTTTGATGTTTGGAAGCTGTTTACTTTGTTCCTTGTTAGGCATGATTTTTAAAAGAATTGATTTTTATCAAATTAAATGTGATTTGGCAACACTGGAAATTAGATTTCTCTGCAATATAACAGAGAAGAAGCGTCAGTACAGCGTTGTAACGTGCTTATGCGTAGTTTGGTTGTATTGGTCGTCGTGGTACTGTATTCATGGATGTTGTCTTAACGTATAAATATGGAAAGAAGACATTGGAGGAACACTCCAAATAACTTTTGTAATATCTGCGGTAGTTATATCGAAGTAAGTAAAGTAAAACAAAGGCAAACTATAACTTGTATTATGAAAAATGTATATGACGCCTATTTTGGTGCAAAATTTTGCGACCAAGACGAGTTCTGGACTCCTCATACTGTTCGCTTGTGTTCAAGCACTAAGAATCTAGCAAAAACGTAAGAAGAAATGTTTAATCTTTGGTGTTCCTATGGAATGGCGAAAGCCTAGGAATCACAATGGTAATTGTTATTTTTGTTCGTGTAATGTCCAAGGGTTGAACAGAAAAAATAAGAAACAAATTGTGTATCCCTAAAACCTACGAAACGTCATATCAGAGGAATCTAATTTCGACTCAGATGACTCAGATTTCACACCATAGCGAATTAAATGACTTATTTAGAGACTTGCACCTTTCGAAGGATGCATGCAAATTGTTATCGTCCATACTTCGTGACAAGCATCTACTGGCACCTTTTACCGAGATTTCACTCAAAAAAGCCTGAGTAAAGTTTTTTTTTTCATTTTTCTTAACTAGGATTCCACATTTTTACTGAATAAAAAATAAATTATTTTGGAAATATCGTTTTTTAGTAAAGAAACCTTACGTGATACAAATAAATGCATAAAATTTTTGAAAACAGCATTCCAAAATTAGATGTAATCAGTTTTCAAAACAAAAACATCTGTCAATAAGTTTAATTTTGGAGACCTGTGATTATCGACCAACGTATGAAACATGCTTGGCGTATGCGGCAATGCGGCGTTGCCAATTGACAGTATTTCCTCTAACTTTATGATTTTCTGTTCAAGTTCGGCCCTGCGGCGTCGGATTTATTCTAATTTTAAAAATCCAATCGAGAAGCTCCGAACAACGTTTTCGGTACGGGGAAAAGCCTCACGAACAAACCGATCGGGCTTTCCGGAGACGCTTTTCGACGAGTCCGCATTCCGGGCTCGATTTTTCAACCTCAACGGGCGGGTACGAATATCAGTTAAGTTCTGTTTCGATTAATCACGACGCGCCCCCCC